TAACCCAGAGCCTGGGGAAAGAGCCATGTTTTCAAAGCTCATTTAAGGGATAGCAGGGTCCTTGCTGTTGGAACCTATGGGGTTGTGTTTTGTCCTATGCCTCCCTACGCCAATTAATGAGCAATGTGAGTTGGTTTTATTTTGTTTAATTGGAGAAATATTGAAGTTACGTTGTTTCAGATAACCAAAACTTAGGAAGGACTTCTCAAGTGCCGCTTCAGTAGTAACGCAAGATCCCAAAATGCAAAATACACTGCAACACTGCAGAGTAATGTAATGGCTTCCAGATGTACAGAGCTTGAGAAACATCACTCAGACCATAAATATCTTCTGCGTGGCTACTCAGCTCAGATGCTTTGATATTAATTTGAATGGCCCGGATTTTCTATAGCAAAATGAAGAAGCCTAGGAGATTTCCTTTCTTTTGATTAGTATGCCATGGGCAGTTCCAGTAGAGGGCACTCAGACACTGTTGAAACTCTAGTCATGTTGGCAGGATGTCAGTTTGAAATCTGAAATAATGATTTCATGCTAGATAGAACAGCTGACACTTCTCTGACAGTTGTGTAGGATTTTGCTCTCATTTGAAACCAAAGGGCTTCCTATATTTGTATGTAACTTAAGTTTATCCTATAACAGAAGGTGAAAGAGAGGTTTACAGTGTGATAGAATAAGTTTTAATTCTGCAAACAAGCTACTATTCCACGTTTGAAACAAAGATTGGATGTTTGTTCTGTCTCTCTAATGGATATGAATGCTGCTCTAAGCTATAGGACACCATAGGATTCAATGCAATGTTTAAAATGCTGTTTATCTTTGCTTTCAGTCTTGTTTAGTTGCCTTTTAGTCACAAAATGGCTTTTCTCCTTCAGTTAGCTTGTAAACACTGACAATGGAACCTCTTAAAAAGTGCACGCTTTATATTCAGAGCATTCTTTGTGAATATTGCTGGAGTTAATAGTAGTAACAGATCACAAGTCCAGAAAGAGGCAGTAGAATCAAACAATGTCTTAGCTTAATGGGACCCTTTTGGACAGCCTTTCTCAACAGGGGTTCTGCAGAACCCTAGGATTCCACAAGAGATCATGATTGGGAAAAAAAAAATGTTTTTAACGTTGTGTGCTACACAATACTAGAACTCACAGTGGAGGGAATTTTTACTCACTAAGACTTAGCTTACTTATCATGCTAAGGTATCGTGAGCTATAAGTATAACAATTTTTATGCAGGAGTCCCTGAGACCTGAAAATTATTTCAAGGGTTCTCCAGGGTAAAAAGGTTAAGAAAGGCTGGTCTTGGCCTCTGGTCCAATTCCCTGTTCAGTGTAGGAATCCATAAAACCATCTCAAACAAATGCCATCCAGCCTCTGTTTGAAATCTCCCAGCGTGGGGGAGTCATCACTGCTCTAGGTAGGCAGTCCTACTGCTTAACACTTCTTACTATCAGGAAATTCCTCAGTATTCATCCTGCATCTCCTTGTTTAAAAAAGATTTCAAACCACTGGTTTTTATCCTGCTCAGTTTCAGCAGGGAACAGGTACACGTGACGTCTTTTAGATCTATCTAGACCACTGTCATATCTCCCTTTAGTCTTCCCTTTTGCAAGCTAAATGTGCCTGATCTAACTGTTCCTTATAGAGTTTGGTTTCCAGACCCCTTATCATCTTGGTTGTTCTTCTCTGAACCCACTCCAACATCTTCATGTCACTTTTAAAGTGCAGTTCCCAGAACTAAATACAGTACTCCAAGGTAAGTCTTCCTAAGACAGAGTACAATAAAACAACTACCTCCTGTGATGGATGGAAACACTTCTGTTTCTACAGGCCAAGTTTGCATTAGCCTTTTCAGCTGTTGAATTACCTGCTTGCTCATGTTCACTTGGTGATCCTTCTCATATACATCACTGCGAAGCCACACCTCTACAGTTCTGTACCTATGCACTTAATTTATCCTACCCAAATGCAGGGCTTTATACTTCTCACACTTGAACATAATCCTGTTGGAATTGACTCAGGCCTTAATCTGTCAAGGTAACTTTGTAATGTAATCTTGTCCTCCAAGGCAACCCCCCCATAGCTTGCTGTAGTCAGCAAAGCTGGTAAGTATCCCTTCCATTCCATCCTTTAATTATTTGTAAAGCTAGGTTTCAGTCTTTGAGGCGAAAATGGCCTTTTGGCCAATCGTTATTTTTTTTCTAACCTGCAACATGTGCAAGTATGTACCACCCTATCCTTTCCTTCATTTCATTCTGCTTCTCCCTTGCCAACAACTGAGAATAGGAGCAGAAGGAGTTTTTGTTAGCTTCTATGAACTCTGAAAAACCTGATTGACCACTCACTGTCACAGGCAAAAGATTCATTTTATTTATGAATATAGTCTTTTGTATTATTCACTTTTTCTTCCATCTAACTCTTGACTCTGGCTCTTAGTATGCCATATGAGATGGAATTTGACGGAAGAGTGTTTGCTAGAGCATGTTCCCCACCTAGGATCTATGCAGAGGCAGTAATCAGTTCCATTTTTACTCTCCTTCCTGGGCCCAAGAGATGCTTAATGGAGGTCACCCACATTTTGTGGCAAGGGTAGGTAGCCCACATGATTTCTTAGCCCCCCTTTTATTGTAGCTCCCAGAAGCCCCAAGATTCTGCCAGTGAAGTTCCATGGCAAGCCTGGTGAATCTATGATGCTTTACAAAATAGTCAAATAGGTCTGTTATACCTCTGATATCCTTTCTTTTGAAAAGAGAAGCAAATTCTTCAATACAAAAAAAAGGGGGGGGGCTGAAAATATTAGTTCATCTGATGATAGCAGATCACCCCATCACCTCTCTCTTAGCTCTTAGAATTTGAAAAAATAAGATTAAAAAGGGGCTGTAGAAGAATTGCCTGTCTCTGCTTTATGGAGTTGGTAACAGTTCACATTTCCCCATCTTTCTGGAGGGATCCAGTGGGAACTATTTTGAATCCTTTTCTTCCTCATGTTTTTACATATTTTCTGCTTTGCCTATCTGTTTCTGCCCAGATTTTCTCTTTTACCCTTCACTCTGGCATCAAATAGCCTGTTGCCTACTGAACCTCTGCCTGGCTCTTACTCTGTATTTACACTTACACTATGGCAGACTTGCTTGTAGTTGGTTGAAAGTCTGGAACTGATCCTTTCCTTGTTTCTGTATAACTTAAATCTTGCAAAGAAATTCTAGGCCAGTTGCAGATTAAGTTATTATGGTCATGAAACGTGTAATTATCTTATAGCTGTCTTCTGCAATGGCAGGAAATTAAGCTCCAGACTGGTAGACACAAATATTATCAGCTAATTTTGTAGTAGGAAGAGCTCTGCTTCCCCTTAACCATGCATGCGTCTATTATGTAAATGATAGGCAAAGTTCTCATGGCTGAGGGCCACCTTTGACATTTTGGAGAAGGAACGGCCTACAGTAATTACAACAGTGAAGCTTGGTGGGTGAATCCATGTCATCTATATAGTCAAGACCAGCATTTTCAGGTATTTCTGCCTTTAAATGGTGGGAAATTGTACTATTGAGTTTTGAGAACTGTGCATGGAAGAAACTCCAGGAGGTTCATGTATGTATATGTATCTCTCTCTCTCTCTCTCTCGTATTTTAATGAATTTTATCTTTGCTGTAAAATGCCCAAAGTCATTTCAACGAGATGGGCGGTGGCAAATTTGATAAATAAATACAGTTTTGTAGGGTTTTTTGGTTTTGCTTTTTACCATAGCAAATAAGGTAGGTGATTTCCAGAATGAAGGTTTATTTTATTTTATTTTATTTTTTAAAGTTTATATTATTATTATTTTTTTATTTTATAGACACCTATAGCTGAAGGAGGTTTTGAACCCAGGTCTAATTGTGCATTTACAGCATCTCCTGTTCCTATAAGCACAGGGACATAAATAGAGTTATGTTCTTTTACAGAGTATCATCTTACTGTACTTGCATGTGGACTTTCTCTGTAATGATACCTACTCTTTGGAATGGTTCCCTTCCCATGCCACCAATATTAAGAATAATTTCTCCACCGCATCACCAATATCTAGAAGTATCTACTATTACGTCTTTTAGATGCCTACTGAAGACGCATTTCTCCCAGGCCTTTCCTCTGTAAAAATTTTCTCCTCTTCCCACCTTTTAAACATGTTTATATCTGCTTTTTGTTTACTGTAATTTTAAGGATGTTTTTCAACTTCTGACTCCAAGTTGTTTTGAACACGGGAAAGTGATATAAAAGATATTAAACAGATAATGCAATCATTTTGAGTACATTAATGGTCCAGTATTCTGGGGATCACTAAATTCACATACTGCAGGGATGACAATCCACAGGTCATGCCACAGATCTATTTTTGTCACCCACAGACAAAATTGGGCCACCAAAATTTGACAGATCAATTGGCACTTCTAGTTGTCTGTGTGTTTTAAGGTATAAACTCTAAAAGAGATCCATTAAATTTCGGAGAGACTTAACACACGTATTTGTGTAATTTATCCAAGGCCATCAAAATAAAAGCTGAAAATATTGGCCCTCCTTTGTCCAGTTGCTCATTACAGCCACCTCCCTGGTAGCCCTTGGAGGATAATAACAACAATAACAACAATAATAATATGCATATCCTGATCTAAAGTAGTTGCCCCTATATGATGTGTGGGAAACTACTATATTTTCTTTCAAAATGGTTAGTCAGTCTGATCTGTTACATGTTTCTTTATGCCTGTCTCTTAAAGAATGAATATTTTTCTCCCTACGTTACAGGTTTCTAAGAAGTACAGCGATATTGATGAGTTTTATCAAAAACTTGTCACACGTTATCCACAGACCTCTCTGCCACCCTTGCCAAGAAAAGTGCTGTTTGTTGGAGAATCTGATATTCGGGAACGAAGGGTTGCCTTCAATGATATTATGAAATTGATTTCTAAAGATGTGGCTCTAGCATCAAGCCCTGAGTTGCTGGAATTTCTGGGTAAATTAAAAACATGTTCCTTACACTGAGTGGAATTTTAATAAATAGGCCATGGATCAGGTCTTGGAACTTTGCAAAATCAGCTGTGTTTTCCATCCTATGCTTAAAGTCTATGTTAAATTCTCATGCCAAAATTGTCACGGATATATCATGGATGATACTTTTGGTTTGCTTTCCTACAAATACAATGCTACAAATCCATTGTACCATGTTATCTGGATGTGAGAATGTTAGTTTCAAATTGTTTTCTGGGGGATTTGGAAATAGAAGACTATAGTTGGGAAGTGCCCTAAGTAAAATATATTTATTGTCACAAATTATTTATAGAGGGCAGAAATGTACTTTTTTCACATATAAGCGCCCATTTTCATCCAGTATAAGAATACTGCTAGCAGTTAGTGATACTGATGCAGAGAAATAATAGTTGTCTATTTTGAACCACTGCATTCGTTTTTCTTTGCCTCTTTTTACAGGAACCAGATCCACTAGTGTCATTGATGTCAAGAGTAAAAACCTTCCCAAGAAGGAAGAAGAGGATGAAGAAACTGAAAGCTTTGATTTTTTCAAAGAGGAAAAGATACCTGATGTCATTTCTCAGTTCAGTTCATTTAAAGGCCAAGATGCTAAAAAGGAAAAAGAGGAGGAGGAGGAGAATGATGTCGACCCACTTGGTGTCCTCAAGTATGTCTTTTCAGTTTTGTTTTTCCTATCCTAGAGCTACCGTATTTGTGGTTGTAAAACTCCAGATGACTAACAGATAGCATCAAAGTGTTAGTTTCTTTAGCTCTTTGCTGTCATCACATGATCTTCTGAATTTTTGCAGCCCAAATAGCCAAGGTGAATTCAGAATTCATTTCTTAAAAAGTATTTCAGAACTGCTGGTCTGAGGACTACTAAAAAATGCAAAATGACTGAAGAAGCGGGGGGGGGGGGGGCGCAGCATGTACTTTACATACT